TATTAATAGTAATGTGATAATAATCACAATTACACAGTTAATAAGTGACTTTGCCTTTTTTCTTCATCAGTTTCTTTTTCTTTCATTATTGTCTTGAGAAAGTTTTGTTCTTTTCTAGTAGAGTTTTGATTTTCATTTTTCAATCTCCTTCATTCATCAAAAAATAACAAAATGTGTCATTTTTGTAATGTTTTATTTCATTTTTTTTTTGTTATGTTTCTTTCTTGTTTTCCTTGATTTTCTGGGATTTTTTTTCCCCCAAAAGTTCTTTTTCTTTATGTAACTTCTGATTTTGCCATCCTTATTTCATGGTTTTGTGAATTACATGTTTTTATCAGTAAGAAAGTTTGTTTGTTAAAAATGCTTGCTAGTGTTGCAATTATATTTCTATTTATTATACTGATATTTTTCTTTGTCGTTGTCATCGTCTTCTTATTAGTCTTCGACTTCTTATCATGTACAGTGTGTTTCTTTTCTCTTGGTTAAAAGCTCTAACCAAATCAATTGCTCATTTCTTGGTTAGAGCTTCTAATGGTGACCTACATAATTTTCATTACATCAGTAGATTATCTTTTCTCATATTTTGAATAAAGCACAACCAATCTATTTTTACAAAATAATGTATATATTATTAATATATAATCATTTAAATATATTAAATACATGATATTGACTTAAGTTAAAGCGACGCGAAAAATAATCTACACCCATTTATAAAATACATGAATCTAATTTATAAAACTAGACTATGTCAAAAATCTCATCCAACCACTAGATTAATGAAATAGGCAGAGTCATGAACAGGCGTAGTTGTGGAGAAAGACGAGTAAAATATTGACAAAAAAAAATGAAAATAGAATATAGTTGTGGTGTAGGAAATATAAATATAAATTATATAATAATAATATAAATTTGAATTGAAGCCCACCACAAAATTAAGAGAAAGAAAGGAGTCAAAATCCTTGAGCCACTAGATAATAGAGAGTGTGTTTTTTTGGACTCATATATCCTTGAAGAAGAGAAGCTTCATCCATTCAACCCAATCCAAGAAAGTAAGAAACACACGGCGGAGATGGCCACAGGAAGCCTCAACCTAAACCTAAACCTACTGGTCCTGAACCCGACGGTGGCATTCCCTGCGGCGCGCCCCACGGTGTGGCCGGCAGGCGCGGCGTCCGTGACTGTGAGTCGTCGGTTGCCGTCGGTGCGCGCGACGGTGGACGATTTCTTGGGGGATTTCGGGGCGAGGGACCCTTTCCCTGCTGAGTTGGAGAGTGGGTTCGGAGAGAAAGTGTTGGGATACGGTAACACTGAGCACAAAATTCTTATCCCCAATATCTCTGCTCTCTCCCTCTCGCAGCAGGACTGTGCCCCCATTTCCCCTCTCCAGCCCCCCATCTCCAAAGATGATGCACAAACGCTCGTTCGAAAGGTAACAACCATATCTCTTAATATATAATTAAATTATGATAATAGTGTCCAGTATTTATTAAAAGAAAAAAAAAATGCATCAATTTTTTAGACTGAATTATAATATATATTTTTATGTGAAATTATGAAACTTAAATATATTTAATGATTTTTTTAATATATATACTTGGATGGGTTCTTTTTCACACTGGTGTATTCTATACCTACTGTAGGAAATGGAAGAATATCTGGTCTTAAAAATGTAACAATATCTCATAATATAAGATGCGCTGTTGCCTTGAAAATGGTTATTAATACAACGATTTTTCCATGACAATTGACAAGGAGGGAAGCAAAAGGCTTTAAGATTTTTTTTAATTTTTAATTTTTTAATTTTTTTATTATCTCTTTTGAAGGTTTGACAAATACAAAAAAGATGAATATCTCTTTTCAACTTGAGTTTGATGCATTCTTAAGAGTTGGAACACACCACTTGGCTTTAAGAATATTTGATTAACCGGTTGAATGGGGGCAATTTATTTTTATGATTTTTTCCTTCTCAATCTGTTCCTTTGTAATGGGTGTTAGTTTTATAAACTCTCAAACACCGAATTGTGAGATGTTATAAATAGTTGAGAGAAATAGGGAAATAAATGGTATAAATTGTTGGTTGAATAACACATTTCTTTATTTTATATACTAAGGTCTGACTGAAAAAAATTCTCACCAAGTATTTATTAGAAAAGGAAAATATAAAATTGTCAATTTTTTTAAAATTAAAATTAACTTATACATAAATCTAAACTAATTTTTGAACGAAGTTAAATGCAAAAGTTTATATATATATATATATTAACTTATATATAAATTAATTTTAAATTACAAAGATTTTTTTTTGCTTTTCTTTTTTTATTTTCTTTTCTCATACGTACATGTTGAAAAATTTATCCAAATAAGAGTTAAAAAGTAAGAAGTACATGTCCCGACTGGTTTAGCAAATTTTATTCATAGTTGGTTAAAATATTCCTCCAAAAAACTAAGGAGTAAATCCTCGTTAACTATTTTTTTTTTTATATATATTTTT